TATATATATAATTTTATTTGAAAGTGCCCTCATGCTGCAACAAAGCTCTACTATTTGTATTTGCAAATTACCATATAAATCTATTTAGGTTAATGTGAAGTGCAAAACTATTTGTACATTAGCATTTGCATGACCAACTACAGTATAGGCATTTTGCGGAAAATCCACTCTGATCTTAGTATTACCTTGTCAGTACTCTGAGAAGTAAACCCTGTGTTGTGACACTGAAATCATTCAAAAGGCAACAAAAACAACTAAATATTTTGTCAGAACATTTATACAAAACATCACCTGAAAATGGACAAAGCATAATTTTACCAGAGCTCCCTGACAGCCAATTAACTGGTCCTTTGTCATGATTTGAACACAATTTTATAGTTCATCACATGCCTTTTTTAAACCCAAGTTTTTATTACACCAAAAACACAATCAAACCACACTGAGCCCAAGCAGAAGCTGCTGGTATTTCATATCTGTCTATTGTTACACATTTACTTTCCAGTTGGAATAAATGGCCTCCAGCCTGACAGCAGCCTGACTGGATGGAGTTGAGTGTTTAGTGTCAGGGTGGAAGAGCTGACTTTGGCCTTTCTATTCAGTGAACCTTATTTGGCTCTGCGATAAAGAAATGTAGAAAAAAAAATGGGGTAGCCACAAAAAAATAAAAATAAATAAAAGATTAGGTGACTAAAGATGTTCCATATTGTTTTCTATCTGGGCTGTTAAATTTATTTATTTTTTCTTACTTTTGTTGTTTTTTTTTTTTCATTAAACTTGTGCACCAAATCATCTGCAACATTAGGAAATAAATAACTTTTTTATTGTACCATATGCAGTATGTGCTCAGTGGGTCACATTCTTACTAAAAAACTTAGCCTTGGTAGAAAGTTTAGTGTCAGTGTTACTTATRTGCACAAAGATTTATTTATTTTTTGCTGCTTAGCAATGGGCACATCTGATGACTACATTTTAATGTGGATAATAAACACAAATAATAAACATAATAGGCACAAAAAATTGTTTTTTATAAAAAAAGCATAAATGTTTTTTGACAACTCTTTGCTGCGTGGGTAGGAACATCTGTCCAATAACTTATGCACATAGTTCTAATTTTACATCCCTGASATGTCTGTGTTTTGTTGCAAGTTCTTTGTTTTGTTTTCTTCAGATTTCTTTTCTTTATGATTTTATTTTAACCTTGCTGTGTTTCTCAGCCCTTTCAATGCTGCGCATCACAGGCTCTTTACTGTCTGTACAACAAGGCCAGTGTGTACAATCTGACGATGACACCCTCACCTCAGATTATGCTGCTGTCAACACATTCCCAGGTTGTCGTCACTCATCTTTAGATTCCTATTCAGGGGCTGATTGTGTTGATAACAGACTGCCGTTGCACTAAACTGTGCATCATCGTTTTTTTGGCATGCGGAGGAAGTGGCGGAGGGCTGGGTCAAAGCTGTTATCACCCTATCATATCTCTGACAGCTACCTGTCAAAATTAGGTTGCAGGAAAAGATGTAAGAATATCCTGCTATGCTGACAAAGCCAAATCTTTCTCTCTCTTTTTTTTTCTCTTTCTGTCTGTCTTATTTTGCATTTTTAATTTTCTCTGTGATCCAGCATATGCTTAATAGGAATGATAATGATAGCAAGGATTATAAAAAAAAAGGAAAACATACAAGGAGAAAAGAAGAGGCGGTGGTAGTGTTGAGGGTGTGTATGTGTGGGTGTGTGTGTTTGAGTTAACCGTGGGGGTGTCTCTCTGAGCCACTGTGTTTCTAAAGAAACTGAAAAGCTTATGAACTGTCAGCGTTCTGTCAGGGAGAAAAATAGCTCGGCCCGTGAACTCTTTTGATGTGTTTGTACAGCATTTGTACATSGAGCACAGAAAAGGAAGGACAATGACAGACAGACAGCCGACAAAGAGGAAAAAAAAAAGAACTGTGTTGTGATGTGTGAAGGGCTGGTTTGAAGTGGCACTCAACACACCTTCCATTTGTCTCTCTCTCCTTGTGCCGTCTCTGTGTTTCCTCCAGATGTTGGGGAGGATGTGGGGAAGTCAGCAGTGAGCATTCAGCCGCCACCGTCCCAAGTTCGCGAGCGGTGTCTGGGCTCGTCCTCTAAAGATTGCCCGTACTGTGGCAAGTCCTTCCGCACCTCCCATCATCTCAAAGTCCATCTGCGGATACACACAGGTCAGTTCATCTGTCCTTTCTATCACACAAGCTCAGATCACATCTCTACACCAATTAAACATTTATTGTACTGCATGCAAAATTTACTTAGCTACTTGTTCTGACATCTCTTTTGGGGGTTGGATTGCCATATCGGTGTATGAGTATTGGCCTAATCACATATTGGAGTCACTCTGTTTGTTATATGATGGATTTGATGCAGATTAATCAATTTCAAATATTACAAGGAGAAAACTGGAATCATTATAAACAGAAAAAAATAAAGAAATAAAGAGCACATTCATTTAGTTTTTCAATCTTAACATCAATATGGCCTAAAGTGAAGTAGTTCCATAAAATTCAGCAATCCATGTTGAACAAACTGCATTTGTCACCTAAATATTAATCTTGTTTTGTCCACACACTGTAATCCCCTGTACAGTTTTATCAGCTCTTGGATTGACGAACATTTTCTTCAAATTGACATGAACCCAAATAAAGAAAACTATTCACAAGTAGGGGTATGGGCTTCCTAACAGTGTCCCTCATTTAGGCTTATAGCCATTGTTATTCGTTTTATTTATTTATTTTTTTCGGCTCATCATTTCATTGAGCTCTAATTATCACAACAAGGGTTCAGTGTCTTTCAATGACATCACTCAGAGGGCAATTTCACACCCTCTAACTCTCAATAACTTTCAAGGCAAAACAAAGCTGCCCTGTCCACAATATGGGCATATGCGTGAGATGCTGTGCCTAATAGATTAAGCTTGATTTTTTTCAGTCAAGCATCCCAACCTCTCGGAGCTCTGCACTGTCTGCAGACGTCAACCATGGTTCGGTTCTGGGATAGTCTATCCCACGGTTGTTACTGGGAGGTGAAGGCTGAAGCCAGACTCATTATGAGGATTGTGGATAGTAGCCAGTGTTCTTCCTCTCTGAAATGTACAAATGCGTCATTGGCTAACCAGGTTAAAGTCACTGTTCAGCTGTGTAGAAAATATCTTACAACAATTACACCTGGTTTTAGTTAGGCTTTATGTGTAAAGTATGAGATCCTCAAGAGAATCTCAACTTCTCAAAAAGCATTTTTTTTTAGTCTGGACAAAGCAACAAGTCTTCCAATCCATTCAGCCATATAGATTGATCGTTTATGCCACAAATACGGCCCACAAGGTGTCCATTCAACCACAGCTGTCATTGACAGTAGGAGGTTTTGCACATATTATGTGGCAATATTGAGGTATTTTTCTCCTCCTGTTTCTTACAAACCACAAAGTCCTTTTTCTCAACCTGGAGGCAGAAAAGAGAAAAAAGCAGGTTGAAGGATAATTTTCATGTCTTAGTTTTATAGTGGGTGACTATTATTCATTCAACTGTTTTGGAAATATAAATACAGTATTATTCCAGTGTGACAAGACTTAAAAGTTGTTCTTAGTCAGTAATACAAGTTTGATCTCTGGGGGAAAGCATGTAAGACAATTATAAAACCTGTTTTTGTTTTGCAGAAAAGAGCTGTAAGAATTATTAAAATGAAGCATTACAGTCACCCATCAAATACTTTGTTTTGTCAGTTGAAATTATTGAAATTCTATGAGTTGGTTGATTATAATATTTTATAGGTTAGGCATAAGTCTCACAAATGTATATTACCTTTAAACAACCAATTCAATTTTGTTAACAKAAACAGTTGTTATGATCTGAAGGGGGTAGAGATGTTTGTGAAACCTGGATTTCAAACCAGTTTGAGGGAGCGATGTATTTSGATAGAAGRAATAAGACTGTGGAACAATCTGGAGAGTGATGTCAAAAATGCCAGATCAATGTTTATGTCTAAGAGAATGATAAAAGTCRCTTTGTTAAAGAAATATGAAACAATACAATGTGTATTCATTCAAATTGTTGTTCAAAAAGGATTTGAAGTTGTTCTTGTTTAGTTTTTTCTTGTTTGTAGATTATTATTGTTTAAAAATATTAATTTTAGGAGGAAAAGGCACAGATACTATAAGATTTTTTTCTTCTTTCTGCCACCTTTCATTTTAATTGTGATTTGWATTTTTATTGCATATAAATTAATTTTATTAAAGGGATCCATGATTAGTTGTAACATTAGACTTTATTTGATAAACATATATTTTAAATGTAAAATAAAGACTGTAAACATATTGTAGGCTGTTTAGTTTTTACARTTTTTAAACTAAAAGTTTAAAAATATATTACACGGACGGGGCCATTTTATTTACACACAAAGCATTCTGAGTAAATGATGACGTGGATAGGTCCTTGGTGCGAAGCTGCTAGCGAGCTATATCCACTCTGAAGGTCAATGGTCTTGGACAATATCTGACGGTTTGCTCTTTTAAATGAAACCAGAGAGTGTTGACAGAGAGGAGAAGGTAGAAATGACTCAACCTGCAACTGAAAATATGGATGGAGGACAACAGAGCTGCTTCATGGAAGAAGAACCTCAGCTTAGCCTGTTAGCTTTCGCATTAGCCCCGATGCTATCACCATATACAGTATATGTATTAGCTCAGCGCTACACATTCTCCTCTCGTCACTGAGGTCCTCCATCCACATGACAGAGAGGGGGAATGCAAAAAATGACTCAGACTGCAACTGAAAATATGGATGGAGGACCTCAGTTTAGCTTGTTTGTTTGTCGCGCTAGCACTGAGCTAATACATGTAAGGCAATATAGCGCTGGTGCTAGTGTGAAGGCTAACAGGCTAAGCTGAGGTTCTTCTTCCATGAAGCAGCTCTGTTGTTCTCCATCTATATTTTCAGTTGTAGACTGAATTGTTTCTACCTTCTCCTCTCTGTCAACGCTCTCTGGTTTCCTTTAAAAGAGTCGATCATCAGAAATTGTYCAAGATTAACTTTCAGGGTGGATATAGCTCGCTCACACCGAGGACCTATCCACGTCATCATTTACCCAGAATGCTTTGTGTGTAAATAAAGTGGCTCCATCTGTGTTAAAATATATTTAAAAAATTACAAAACTAAACAGCCTACAGTATTATTACAGGCTTTATTTTACAGTTAAAATAAATGTTTATCAAATAAAGTCTAATGTTACAACTAATCATGGATCCCTTTAAAAAAAACTGAATAAAGTTTAAAAAAAGATGAAGCTGAACAAAATATGAAAGCCCCATTTTACTATACTGCTTTATTGTGATCAAAACCTCATTTGTTTGCTTTCTTCAATTAAAAAAAAAAAAAAAAAACTTATCAGCCTGAGAAAGAAATCCTCCCACTGTAGCATGCTAATACATTTGGTGTATACTCACTAAATTACATTTTTTAAGTTAAAGAGCACAAACAGGTTAAGTTATCTTAGCAACACCACAGTAGCTGCTGAGGGCTTTGGGAGGCATTTGATATTTAGTGGTTCGAGAGTTGAGTTATGTCTGTTTTGAGTAGTATACTGTAGTAAGAATACCCACGAGAGCCATACTTTATCATAGAGGAAGTGGAGACCTCAAGCCCGGCCTGTGTTAACTCATTTTGCAAAACACATGAGGAGAGTGATCTTATTTCACTGCCTGTATATTTTACATTCATTCTTTCAAAGTTAAACATAAAGTAAAATTAAAGCACGTGTCTGGAACCCTGATGCAGATTACAAAATAATAATAATAATAAAAATATTAAATAAATAAATTATTAATAAACGAAGTATAGCTTGGTGAGGATGTTATTTTTCACAATGGAATGTGTCCTTGGACGTGGGCCTGTCTAAGCACAGCTTTAACATGGTGTCTTCCACACATGAGCAGGAAAAACAAAGCTTGATGCATCCCCAATATGTGGCCTTTAAATCATTCCTATAACCTAATCATAGCAGCTCCACTGTGACATCCTGATTACATCCACGAGATGACTTCTGCAGCAGCTGAAGATATTTTCTGTGCCGTGTTGACAATGCAGGGAAATTCACAGACGACAGTCCACCTCGCCTTCGTCTAATGCAAAGTGACTGACACAATGGAGTTGCTTACCAAGCTGGTTGAGGCAGCATTGTGCCGTGCAACGCAGAGATTAATGAGCGACTAACACCGGCTTGAAAGGAATGAAGTGAATTTAAATTCCTCAAAAAGTTAAAGAGCTAATGTTACAGTATTAATTTCCTCTTGAACAGTGAGTGGGAAAATATCCATTAGCAAAATTAACCACAGTTTTCTAGGTAGCTAACATTGTGCGACTGTGGCACTACAGTGTGGGGCCAGAGCTAATGAACACACTGCAGAGGGTGATATTTCATTATACAAATTAATGCTCACATTTTAATGGGAAAGTCACATAATGAATCTAGGCTTCAGTGACAGCAATTAGAGGCCCAGATTGTCCCCTTCTGGACAAGGCACTATTTAGCAGTAAGCAGCTGTGTGTAAAAAAATAAATAAATAATAAAAAATAAAAAGGACCTCACTCTTGACAATAGCCACACATAACTTCAGGCTGAAGCACATAACCAATAAGAGTCTCTGCTCACCTTTAAATGAGAAGAGGGGGAGAGAAAGCGAGGGAGAAGAGGCATGACTTGCCCGTGTCACTTAACCTTAACCTAACCTTGTAATCAAAATGAATCAAGAGGGACCTGTGATCTCCCTCTCTATTCCTCTCTTTTCCTCTGGGTTCTTCCCTCACTGTTTTTTTTTCCTCTTCTATCTTCGACTATCTCCCTCCAGAAACATTTTTTCAGTGCAATTTCATTTTTAAACCATTTCTAATATCATCTATTCACTGTTTTTAATACAGTAACTTTGCTCAATTTAATGTAGCCCCGTAGAGCAAACTTAATATCTAAAATCCCCATGTGCGTATACTATGCATTTATGGTGATTTCCCTCTCTTTCGTAATTGAACAGTTAGTCCTGACATTGATAGAGGCACAGTCACTTCATTGGTGACTGCTAGCATAAAAGATAAAGAACATTATAGATTCACGATTTGGTTCGGTTCGATACTTCAGTCTCGTGGTTCGATATTTTTTCAATACAAGAAASTGGAATGTCCATGCCCTTCTTAAATTGTAATTTGTTGAAATAAATTTTGAACATTTGTTTAACCTCAAAAGTACAGTTTTTAAATTAAATGTTGCTGAAACAGCAAGTTTCTCAGTGGATCTGCACTCAGTGCAGCCTAAGTGGAGTAGTCGAACACAGATCCACTGATCCTTCAATACAGAGCATCTCAGAAGATGAGCTAATCAAATAATTAAAAAAATCTGTATTGTTTTGTACGTAGTGTGTATTGAATCTAAAGCACTGTATATATATATATATATATATATATATATTTATATGTTTATAATTTGAGAGAGCCACTGCTTTGAAGATAGGGTTCTGTGGAAAAGTTGTGAATGGCCTTAGTGTGGAAAAATAGAGTTTAACTCTTACTATATAACACACCAATGATTATTGTGAACACAGCTAAGACCCAAAGTGAAATGCTGACTTGTTAAAATAACTCCATTCCTTCAAGTTTCCATAGCAGTTTATCAGGACATTATGTACCTGGTTCTTACACTGATGTGCATTTTTACATTAAATTTGGTGTTTTTTGAAAACACGTGCAGTAGTAGCAGCAGCAGTGACAGAACAATATGTTTTCCAAAATAGCCATGTTATTTGAACTTGACAGCAACATAAAGACGTAAAAGAAACAAAACAACTGTTTTTGCATAAAAACACAATTATTCAAGTTGGTTGTTTAAGTGGACAGGAAATAATATAGTCTGAGCTCATTTCTTCCAGAGCACCTTGGTCAAAGTTGTTTTGAGACTAATTGTTAGCTCATCAGTTCAGCCAGAATTAAACTTTTGTAGTTTTTGTTTGTTTTTCTCCAAAATTATGTAATTTCAAAGAGCTGTTTACAGGTAAGATAATGATAATGGCACAGAGCACCACTTAAGAATGTCAAAATGTCCTTTTCACGTCATAGGCAAATTTTCACATCTGCTCCTATAGTGCCTCTACTGGTTACCTCCATTTTGCATCTTATACACATAAACTCTGGATTTATAACTTATCTGTTGTAAACATAAACAAGCATAACTAAAACACCCATTTTATCCTTGCATTTCATTAGCTATTTTAGTAAGAAATGACTCCTGTTGACATAGACAAAAAAGCAATGTAAAGGGGTGGGGAAAATATTTAAAAGAAAAAAAAAACAATCACATTGATTTTTTTTTAAGATATTGCATCTTTTCTGGTTTTTCAACATAACCAGACCATTATTCTTTTCCCTACCTGTTCTTATTGATTAACTAAAATTCATTTCAAGTATGCCATAGCCATTTAACCATTTTAATTGCCCCTTTGTACAACTTTGACATATTTATCTTTGTTTCTACGCTCAAAAGCCAGATGAAATTCCTCCATGATGTGAAAACACACTAAGTTCTCCCTACCGCAAGCAGTGAAAGAATGATTTAAAGCCACAAAAGCATTAAAGTAAAAATAATGAATCCCCTAAAAAGAAAAAAAATGTATCTATATAATTATAAATGTTTTTGAGACACTAAAACGTATGACATAATTCAACAAACTGAAGGTCAACAACAGTAAAAAAAGTTTACCATTTTAGTTTTTGTCTGCCAAATAACAATTTCCTTGTTTTGTGGTGGTGGTGATCTGTCATGTGGCTGGGAGGTTGTGCTGTTTGCGCTGATATCAATTAAAAGTGGATTAACGGGTACATAATGACCTTTAGCAGTAAATTGTGTGTAATGTTGCAAGGCAGGATACAGTATATTCCCCAGATGTCACACCAGGCCCCTGACGTATGATGGAGCAGATGTCTTAGCCAGTCCAAATGGCTCTCCAAGACACAAACACACACACACGCATATACACACAGGCTCAGGCTGACACGCATGCATAAACATGTGTTCACACACATTCCAAATGGTGCACATACACACGCATACACACACACACGTACATAAACACAAGGAGATGCAGAAACGCACAAGTCATCTGTTTCACTTGCTTCAGATGTTTCCACGCTTAATTTTAAGAAAAAAAAAAAAGAAACTGGCACAAACTGATCACTCCGAGGGGACTTTTGTCTTTTCTCTTACTGTGTACACATCAGAGGTCAGGGGTCAGACATGAAATCCTATTTGCTTGTCATTCTCACTTTAGATATGTACATGGTGCATTAATCTTTGTTTTCTGTATAAACATTAACAATCTCTTATTAGGAAAAAAAAATTGAGGGAAAAATTATCAGTCTAATTTCTGTCTAATTTGGCTCCTAGAATATCATTTTGTCCAGTTAGAGGGATTGAGAATGATCATTTGCATCAGGGACGTTTCCTTATTAAATCAGCACTGAGCCTCTGTTCGGCAGCTCACAGGAGAAGCACTTATTGGGTTAAAAGCTCATCTCATATGGTTTATTTTAAATATACTCTATGCTTCACAGACACTGTGGTGTAAGAGAAAAGATATCACATCACTGCCTTTCTTTCTTCAGTCAGGGTTATCTGCGTCTCTGCATGCTCTCTTTCTTTTTCTTTGGTTTTTCGCTTATGCTTTCTTTCTATACTCCTCAGCAGTTTCACCTTCAATTTTCTTTTGTATGGCCACCTATTCTTTTCTCTCTTGTATCAATATTCTATTGAGTTGGTGTTTGTGGCCCTTTATTTGAGAACTCTGCAGTAGGTCTGCAGATCGCAGAGTCTTTTTCTGGAATGGTGCCCTCTAAATAATGATAAATTACTTGAGCAGTATGCCATTTGCTAATTATATCCATGATTTACTACACAGCCCGACTTAAATCATTCAAACCAGCCTTGCGTAACAATGCCTTTTTTCTTCTATAAAATGGTTTCCATGTGCATAATCTAAACATTTTATTGGCATATACAGTGTATAGAATGTGCAAAACACTGCAGCCGTACAATCCCCCTATTTTATTTATTAATTTACTTATTTTTTTTCCGCAAATCTGCGTGTCTTTTCATGGAGTTGTTGTTATCCCTCTGACAGAAATTCTACTCTGGGAAATTTTATATGTATATGTGCTAAAAAAAAAAGAAAAGAAAAAAAATCAAGCTTAGCATTTTTCCCCTCTCTGTTCATTGTTTAATGAATCCAAATCKGGCTCAGACTCCAAGCCTATTATAATTGCTAGCAGGATGTGTTCTATTTCAACATAAGTATCATTCCAATGGAAGATCTACTTTTGGCAGAATAATGCCAGTGTTATACCATCATCAAGAATATTCATGAATATGGATGTGAAGCATAAATAAGCATATGTAGATGTTACAGAACCAACCATCTTTTACCACAATATAAATCACTTTGATCTGTATATGCTTTACTGAATCATATTGTTTCTTATCACAGGGCTTTGCTGCAACAAGCATGTGGTACACATGTGTTGTCTGCAAAGTTTTCTTCTCCTTTTATTTTTGCATTGTAGTGTATCGTTCAAAGTTTGATTTCCATTCATTGCAGTTTGGCAGTCATCAGGGTTATATTGTGCTCCAGCTGATTTATTCTTCTTTAGAGAAACTGCAAATAGGGAACGTCCGAGAAATTGCATTCTCATTGCCAAGGCACAGGCCTCATATCAAGCAAAGACAGAGCAGAGGCACGGTGACCCCTCTGTAACCACACACTCACACACATTCTCATAGATTCAGCCGCTCTCTGAGCCCAAACAGCTAGCATCGAGACAGTTTGGTTGTCAGCTGAAAATATTATCTCTTGTAGTGGACTGAAAGCACCATATGGTGGAATGTTTTTATGGTGCTGATATGAGTGATGGCTCACTTGGCGGAGCTGGATCAACCCATATTCAGATGCCTGCTTCCACACCACTTCTCGTTTCCTAATACACACTCCTATGGGCACAAACACACTAAAGCATCAAGTGGTGCTGAGCTGGAGACCAAAAAAAAAACAAAAACAAAAAAAAACAATAAAATAAAATAAAGCACTGGTAGTAGAATGCATGTTTTTGTTTGGTATTATGAATTATATCTTGGCTTATTTCATGTTTCATTATGTGCAAATAGTTGTTTTGTTTTCTCTTCTTGAACTCCTGATTGCCCTAATTCCCTTTACTTTAACAAAAGCCATTGGTTTTCAGGTAATAAAATTTTCCTTTATTTGTATGCCAAATACTATYATTTTTTTATAGTGGTTAATGAAATGCATATCCTTTTTGTGAGCTCATGTGACCTAATTTTTTGTGTTCAGGGAGGTTACATGACCCTAGGGTCCACATTCCCTGCTCCAATAAATAGATTTTGATAACCAGCTAATGTAATAAGCAGGTTAATTATTCACTTTTTTTTCCTTTCTGTGTCTTTTTTGGCTTCTCAGGAGAGAAACCCTATCGATGCCCTCATTGTGACTATGCTGGCACCCAGTCTGCCAGTCTGAAGTATCACCTGGAACGCCATCATCGTGAGCGTCAAAATGGCTCCACTACGTCAGTCCCTTCTTCTGGCCACAACACAACTTCTGACCATAAAGACGATCCTGGCAAAACAGGTAGTGGCATCTTTGCCCGACCAGATGTACTCCGTAATGTTTTTAAGGGCATGCCAACCAACCTAGACTTCAGAGCAAGTCCGTTGCTGCCACATCAGTGGGCATCAGCTGGCATGATGTCTTCACATGACCGGGATCGTGATCGTGGAGATCGCCGTTTTGACTCTGCCTCTTCAACTGAAAACTTGAAGAATGCTGATGGCCCATCCTCCATTGTGCCGCCAGGAACAGAGAGTGCTGCAAGCTTTTCTGATCTAAGCAGAGCTTACCAAAGTATGATGGGAAACGGAGTCCACTTTCAAGGTTCACTCCAGGCTTTCATGGACAACTTTGTCCTCAGCTCCATGAAGAAGGACATTAAAGACAACCAGGGTTCAGTCCAGCTTCCTGCCCACCGCTACCATGATAATGGTGAGCCCAAAGCCAAACGAGTAATCTCAAATGACCAGGATAGAGAGGATAAAGCTGAAGGAAAACTAAAGCCGGAGCCTGGCAAGCCTGGCTCTCAGTACGAACCGCTTGATCTGTCTGTATCAGTCCGCCCTGAGTCTGCAACTGAAACTCTCCCTGGTTCCTCAGTCACTGTTCATGATAATGTAGTTTGGCATGGCTGCCTCTTCTGTTCTTTTTCTACCCCTTCTTTGGAGCTCATGGCCCTGCACTTACAGGCCAACCATCTGGGTAAGGCCCAAATGCAGCGGTCTGATACAGGCAAGGAGCTTCATCGAGATGGGTCTCCAACCCACTCTGCCATTCACTCTTCCAACACCAAGACCTCTCCTTTGATTCTTGACAGAGATGGTGAGAAAGATGGTGAGAAAACCCAAGCAGTTTGGAACAACCACAATGACCAACCATACAACCCCTTTCAGAGTGACTTCTTTAGGAGGTTTGGTGGCTTATATGATGGATCTCCAAGAGTCAGTCACAGCCTTCATGGGTATATGGCAGAGCAGGGTCTAGAACTGCCTAGCCAGGCCTTTGGGGGAACACCCTTACCTGGAGATGACCACATTGGTGAGAGGGGTTCCTGCAAAGATGCAGAAGATGACCRTGGTGAATTTGATGAAGAAGGTGTAAAAGCTGTGGAGCACAATACCTCTGAGACTCCCTCGGCTACCCCCAAGAGACAGCAACTGCAGAGTCAGTCTGACGAAGAGGGAGATGAGGGTGGAGTGGTTGAAGAAGAGGAGGAAAGAGATGAAGATGAGCACATAGACATGGAGAGAGAGGAAGAGGAAAGTCCTGCTTTTGATCATCCCCAGATCCATCCCAAGCAGCTTCAAGATGACACCTCTCTTCTCTCAAGAAGTGGAGCTGGTTTGGCAGCATCTGTGTCAACCATGACATCAATTCCTCTTGTTCCCCAAACCCAGAACCAAACTGTGCCCCTGGAGAAGCAGTGGCAGCAGGGTCTGGGCCTCCTATCCCCTGCAGGTCCTCCAGGACTCTTGAAAGCTGAGCAGCAGACTCACCTAGAGCAGCAAATGAGCATGCTGTCTGTTCTCAGAGCCTACAGCAACGACAACCTCCCTGCATTCAACGGCTTGGGAGGTGGAGGCGGCGGAGCAACCACGGGGGGCATGAAGAGGTCTGATGCACCTGGTGAGTGTGCACAACACCTAATGGCACTGTAACRCCGTAATGCCAAACACACACACATGCAGAAGCAGTAAAATCAAAAGAAGCTACACACACATAAAACACAAATTGAAACACTGATTAAATTTCCCCACTACTGCATACACATACACACAGTGCAAACACTTTTTTTTTGCTTGACTCCCACAAAGGAATCCCAGACACTCTCTAAATGTCTCAAGATTGGCTCTGAAGTGATTTCAGTCTTATTTCAAGCAAGTTTAGAAGCTATCAGCCCGGTGACTAGCAACAGATTAATCTTTATTACACGTTTATATTACTGAGAGTGCAGTGCCTCCCTCCTGCTCCACAGCATGAGGGGAATAACCCTGGATGAGTCAGAGCAGGACCTTAGTTCCCTGTGCCATCTCCTCCACATGTCTCTTAACTATCTTAGCTCTCATAAAGCCGCCTCCCAAAAGCCCATTACTTTATAAGACTCGTCGATCTATGACCCTGTGAAAAATGAACTGTCAACTTTCATGATTCTGCTAAGGTTATAGCTGCTCCTTGAGACTGAAGCAGGAAGTCTCTTTTTTCTCCTCTTTTTTACAATGCTCTTACGCTGTTTAGGGTTGGTTGCTGTTTGCCAAGTGTCTCTGTAGAAAGAAAGTACAACTCAGTGTCACTGTTGTTGTTTTTTTTAAATACTGACTTATTTGAGAGAGAGGAGAAATTGGGTCTTGTGGAGGAGCCCTAGAAACAGTGACATATGCTGTTTTTTAGAGTAAAAACTGAATTAGGTTTGACCTAAGTATATATAT